GTTTCCTATATGACCTTCTTGAGGTCGTCTGGTCTCATGTCACTGTCTTCCCGTGAGTCTGTTTATGTCAATGAATTGGAAAGCTTTATTCCTGAAGTACGTGTGATTATACATTTCCCGGTAAAATCTCGATATCGGGTGTTGACATATCATCGGCACGCACGTGTACTATTGTTTACCAGGGGCCTGTTCGTTTATGCGGAACAACCGGTTTGACCGTTTATAAATGTAACAATTCCGGGTATAAATCCTGGCGGACCTACAAATGTGTATGCAAGACTTGCAAGGCTTTCTCAAGGCTCGCCTGAAAGCAGCATCAGATAACTAGGTCCTACCTTATTTAATAAACGAACAACAGTGGTCCGATCGGTTTGACCGTTTAAACGCAAACGGCCCAGGTGTTACTATAATTTGCACTACGATATTGAATACCCGATACGCAAAACGGAAATGACGACACGGTGTACATGCACATTTCGATCAAGATAATTGAGTCCGAGCTGCACTTTTTCCGGAAGTACGTCACGAAAATGGACGCTGATGACGATGTGTCGAGCCACCTTAATAACACGAAACCGTGACTATGTAACATAATAAAATGATGACATGGCATACAATAGAGACCATATATCGTATAAAATGATAATGTGAAATATAAATTGGACCACATAACGTATATTTGGTATCAAATAGCATAGTTAACTGATAATATAACTGTCATTGTGGACTATATGAAATATTTTATTGACGATGTGACATAAAACCGTGATAAAACGACACATTGAACTGACCATTTAACATAGATTTGGCACCAAATAGCTTGTACCGGGGACTATAAAACTCAATAACTTGACAATATAACGTAAATAGATGACCATATAACATATTGAATTGTCAATTAAACATAAATTCCTGACCATATAATATAATAAGTGACAATATAACATATTTGTAACCATATAACATAAAAAAAATGACAATATTACGTAAAATGGTGACCATATAATATAATAATTGGACAATATAATGTATGCTTGTGACCATATGCTATAATAAATTGACATTATAACATTAATTGGTGACCATATGCTATAATAAATTGACAATATAACATTAAGTGGTGACCATATGCTATAATAAACTGATAATATAACATTAATTGGTGACCATATGATATAATAAATTGACAATATAACATTAATTGGTGACAATATGCTATAATAAATTGACAAAATATCATAAATTAGTGACCAGATAGTATAACAATTTGACAATTTAACATAAATAAGTAACCATTTAACATAACAATTTGACAGTATAACATAAGTTGATGACCATATAATATAATAAGTGACAATATAACATATTTGTAACCATATAACATAAAAAAAATGACAATATTACGTAAAATGGTGACCATATAATATAATAATTTAACAACATAACATAATATGGTGACCATATAAAACAATAATTTGACAATTTATCATAAATAAGTGACCATTTAACATAACAATTTGACAATATAACATAAGTTGATGACCATATAATATAATAATTTAACAACATAACATAATATGGTGACCCTATATCATAATAATTTGACAACATAACATAGGTTGGGGACCATATGGAATGTGTATCTGTCTTTATGACATTGAATAGTAACAACGTAATATACTGTCTGTAGTTTTAAGGCAGCTCTGGCGTTCCAGTCTTGCATATTCATTTATTTTACAACAATTATGAAACAAATTAATTTTAGTCAACTTATGATAAACACTCTTGTTGGCCCGGATGTTAGCGCGCGGGGTTTTTAGAGCGAGAGGAAACCGGAGGAAACCGGAGTGTGTGACGCATTAATATCTCACGAGAGCTCGTGTTTCTTGTGTATATATGTAAGCGACTCTAAATAAAGTTTCTTGTATCTTATAACACGCACATCAAAAGAAAATAAAACATGTTTAAATCAAGCACGTTGATTATACAAGTAGAAAATTAGTTTTAATCTACGTCTTTATATAAAAAACGATAATAAAATATATTTTTCTTCACACACTGATGAATAACTATGTTATCTTGGAAAACGGGTTGTTCATCCTTTTTTGCCGGATAAAAAAATAAAAACATTCCTTTAATTAAAACGTGATATATCTACCTCTTGTGTAAACTGCCATCACCTCGTCTGTCGAGGATGTCTCGGCTACACTAATGCTGTCTTTGTCTTGCGCGACAGATGTAGGCTGAAATTTCCTCGGTGATCTTCGGGGCCTTAATACTGGTTAGTCAAGTCGTCCCAGTAAGAAACTAATGGGAATACATCATTCCGATGAAGCGTCTTCGACCTTCCCTCTCCATCTTCCCTCTTGAAAATTGAACACTTTTTGGTACTAACTTGAGTTCTGCATCAGAGATATTTTGGAATACTTTATCCAAGTGGTGAAGCTGTTCCTCATAACTCTTGGAAATATGATCACGTCATCAATATAGACAAAACAAATCTGCCCCATGAGCTGCTGGTATTTGGCTGGGGCCTTAGGCAGTCCAAATTGTATTCATAAAAACCCAACGGTCCTACTGTGATTGCTGTCCTCTCCTGTGTTCATCTTGGATCTCAACTTGATGGTAGCCAGACTTCATGTCAATGACAGAGAATTAAAGAATCTGTTTCCGGCTAATAAGTCCAACATCTCATCTTCTTTTGGGAGAGCATAAGCATCTTTGATGGCTCGCTGGTTCAACTGACGAAAGTCCACACACATACGAAGAGCACCATTCTTCTTCCGTACCAGCACCACATTCGACGTCCATGGAGAATGAGACCGTTCAATGATGCCAACAGCTAACAACTGTTGAAGGAGATTCCGAACCTCTTCAAACATAGATGGAACTATTCGCCGACATCTCTTCTTAAATGGGGTGTTGTCATCCAAATCTATCCCGAATTTCACCACTTTTGTATGACCAATGTCAATCCAACAGCTGTCTCACTCTTCTGTTCAGGAATAAGATTATCAGACTTCTACTTGTTCTAAAACGTCTTCAGATACATCAGTTGACTCCTATATACAAAGCCTTGGGCTGGATAGTGACGGTCCGAGTTGAAAGGCCACTGCAGGATGGATACCTGCACTGGGGACCGCTGGTCGTGATGATAAGAAATGATGGGTGGAGTCAGGTCCAAGTCATCAGGTATTGCAGAGCCGAAAGAAGACGCACTAACGCTGGGTATACTCTTGTCCTGTTATAACCCCCTATATAAGTACAGTTGTGAGTTGGGGGTGTTTCTTCTGCACATCTATCAATTGCTAATATGTTCTGGTTCCTCGGGAATTTCTGTTCCCTGAGTACCATACAACATTAGGCTAGGTTTAATGGAGTCACAATTAAGCTTGGCTTTCCGTAGAAAAGAAACACCCATTCCTCTTGAACAGCAGCCAAAAGAACATCTAATATGTTGGTTTATGTATGGCGGGCTGGTAGGGACAACAAGGAACATTACTTTCAATGCTGAACTCTCATTTGTGATTCCAGTTCCAAGGAATGATTTATCAGCCTCTATAATTCATTTGTAGGGCAATAGCTGTGCATCGGCACACTCATGCATCTGCATAATCAATCTACAAGATAGTGTCAAAGGGACGTAACTCTACATGTGGAAGATGTTGCTTCAGTATATCTAAAAATGCCTTAACATATGGTTACCCTCAATGATGACTGATGATTCCGTGGCTGTTTCAACTAAATCAGCAGGTTGTTGGTTATTGCCGTGATTGGCGTCATTTGGGTTAATCACTGAATATTTTTGTCACAGCCGACTCCAACGCCTACCTTAATTGGTACTGATATATATGCCCATTGGGTATTTTTGTTCATTTTTGTTTCTGTATTCTAAAGATTTTCTGATGGATCATATTTCTTACCACATTTTATCACATTGTGACAGTCTCACTGACATTCTACTGATTAAGTTAGTAATCTGACGGGTAGTTGGTTATATCAGCCCAAGGTAATAAACTAATATCGGCCAGGCCTATTTCACCCAAGTGAAATCGGCCCTACTATGTATCTATATGTTAAATACATGGGATTTATACATTTATAAGTAGAATTATATTTAAATAAATACATTAAAGGATTTATTTAATTACGTACGCGTACTGGGCTACATTCGCGTATCCCGGTTGAAACGGTACGTGTGGCGCAGAAATTTTCCACGCTAAACGAACACACTTGGACCGTTCTATAAGCAGAGCTAAAAATCCACAGTTTCGGAGAATAAAAACCCAAAGAAAGGGATTATTATAACATTTATGTATATTCCATATATACATAGGGCCAATTTTACCTTGGGCCGATTTCACTTGGGTAAATCGAGGCCGTTTTTACCTTGGGCCGATTTCACTTGGGTAAATCGAGGCCGTTTTTACCTTGGGCCGATATGACCATAAATCGTCTGACGCTTGACTAGCAGTTGTGTCGGTTTTCAGTCTTACCCCATCCCGTTCCCTGAGCGTTTCATCATCATTTACGACCGTTTAGTACTACGTAAATAAAACATGTCTGCTCCCTCCTTCAGTTGAAGGTTGTGTGCAAGTTCTCTGGCGAGTAAGGGATGCATAAGCTCTATTCCAACTGTTTAAGAGTCGCGGGGAGTTTGCAAACACTCAACAGGTACAGTAACATTCAGTTATGAAAAACACAATAAATGAAAAGTGTATCTTACTGTTGCAGACGAAAAACTTGTTTCACTTGCATTGTTTACAAACTACTCCGCCACAGGTGCCCTACATATAGTAAACATCCCCGTATGTCATTCACGTGCAGTCTTTCTTTATTTATATTTTCACGTTTGGCCACAGATTTGTCAAAATAAAAATAATTTTGACGTCCAAATCATCTGATAGAACTAGCAATGTAGGCCTAGCTCAGATTGGTCTTAATTTGATGTCGGAGCACCATTGCACAGGCGGTTGGGATATTTACCGAAATGGACCGGAATGGAGTTAAATAAATTGGCATTATTTCAAGAGAATGGACCTAATATGCATTATTTATCACCAACTTGTATCGGGTCATATGTAAAATATTGGACGTTTATTTTCTTTAAATCTACACAGGAGCCTGGTAAAAGTTTTGTCAAAAATTAATAATAACAGTAATACAAAAAAACACCTAAGCTTATAATGTGATTTTTTTTTGTATAACTGTTATAATTTTTTTTTGACAGAATATTGTCAGGCTCCTGTGACCATTGTAACTATCAATTAACTGGTATAGTCTAAATATTATTTTCACTATATAGAACCTTATACTTCACCTATAAGAATGTAACAAATGTAGTTAGCTATTTGTACTATGAACTCTTTGGTGCCACATGACCCAAATAATCTCAGGGTTAGTTTAGTTTAGCAGTTACATGGATATATCATCGTCATATATGATTCGATCTGCAGGTTATATATTTTGCACAGCCATTCTATTAAGCTGACGTATCTGACCTGTATGACCGTACCCTGCAATAGGATGTTTGCACATCCTCTGTAAACTGACAATAATATATATAGTTACCAGCAGTTCGTCTGGAAAACATATTACCATAGTTTATAACTCATTTAAAAACACACATTTAAATAAAGTACAGTTTTGCGGAATAAACTTTTCATTTTGCTCAAAATGAACAAACCTGAAAAATCAGTCATATATTTTAACTCATGTATACTCAGTCTGTTAAATTTTGTTGTCTGAAGCAAATGAGGCCACACCAGCTGCTTGCCAATATTTTCCGCTGCTGAAACCCAAAGGAGATATTCTTACATCGGTGGACACTATTTGCAATAAAAGTCCATCTTGATTTGCCTTGAACTTCTAATTTTAATACATTTTGTATAAAAAACAACCAAATAAAAATAATTTAGCATCAAAGAAAAACAGGTATATCGCAATGTGACAAAATTGTTTAAAACTTTATGAATCGCTTGACTATGCAGACATTTCACCCATCAATACAGAGTGTACTAATACACACTGTGTGGAATAGTGTCCTGATGTCCTGATGTCTTATTGTAGATATAATGCCATATATCAGTCAAGAGGCAAAACTATTTCTCAGGAAAGTACCCATTGAAGTAGCTGTTACCTGATGCTACACTGTAACATTATAGCTATAGTGTATTTACATATACAGTGTTTTTTTCTGGGGACTTTTTGGGGCAGATAATGGGCCCCATTCCCAATTGAAACTATTTCATATTTATGCCTAATTTCCAAATTTGCAGTTTACTCCTGAAGATTTTCTTTACGATTTAATTTAAACGTAGTATATTTTCTTCCCAAAATGAAACAAAAAATGCTCCCATCTCAAATTAACCAGAAAAAACCCTGGTACATAATATCAGAAATAGCTGCATCCCTCTTATCTTGCTATATTGTAAAATATGTGTATTGATTAGGTGGTCTTACAAGCGTCAGCTGTAGGGAATTTCCTATTTTAGCTCGGCGGTAGAGCATCACCCTGAAGAGCCAAGGGTTGCGGGTTCGAGCCCAAGCGACGGCACTTTCTTTATCACTTTTCCTCATCCAACTACAATATTATGTACTTGTAGGAACATCTTACAGTTGACTGAGAGTGTGAAAACCCTTAATCGCTGCCTCAGTATCAACGAAACGGCCACAGCATTACGTCCGTTCTATTTTGTCGTCCATCCCGACCTGTTTGGCCAGCATCCGAAGGAACGGGTAAGGTGATGATGGAAAAAAAAGTTGACGTGAATGAACATAAATCTAGCCAGGCTCCTTCCAAAAAAAAAAAAAAAGTTGAAATTAAAATTTGGCTCAGAACGAAATTTCAGATATTTGTTTTTGTTTTAATCTGTAGGAAGTCTTAAGAAATCCAGTTCACGAGGAAATGAAAACATGTGGAATATTCCTATAAATTTCAAATTTGAAGTGGATTTAATTAATAACAGTTAAAGATATATTGTGTGGAATGGAAGGGGGGGGGGGGGATTCCAAATTTGAGCTTTACCTCTTTTACAAAGCCATGTGTATATTTTCAGAAAGTAAATGAAGAGTCACTGAAGAGGCTACATGAGTACCTGACATCATTACGGAAGACAGGAACTGCAACGCCCACAGAGCTGGTATTCTTTGTACGACCACAACAGAATGAAGGTAAGCTAGACCGATAGACTGACACCTTGTTTGAAATCAAACTTATCTATCTTTTTCACTTACCAGTATATACACTGTATACCAGGAAACTCTTGCCCATTTAAATGTTCACCCTTCCCTGGTAAATCAATCAAATAAATTAGAGAAAGATCCCCTTGAAACCATGCAAGGACCAATAAGTTCACATGTATGTTAAAGTTCATCTTCTGTGTTGCAGGAGGATATTTTTTTATATAGAGAGCCCTCTTGAAATTAATAATAAAAAAAAAATCATATAAAAAGAAAACTAGCAACTCCTGAAACCTGGTATCACTGTAGGGTAGCGCACCTGACTTTAACTAAGGCGGCAAGGGTTTGATTCCCCAATCAGACAGGAAAAGGTATGGGTCACCTGACCGACAACATGGGTTTTCTGCAGGTACTTTAGTTTCTTCTCACGTTAAAGCCCCCCCCNCCCCCCTCACACACCCCACACACCCTCCGCCGCACTAACATTTTTCGTATTGCAGAGTTATCTGCTCCTGTGAGCAGGTATTGATTGTTATGTCATTAGTTTGTTTGAGAAAATTGAACGTTTTCTCAAAAATTAATGACGTTACTCTCATAAACAAATGACGTAACAATCAATACCTGCTCACAAGAGCAGATAACTCTGCAATACGAAAAGACAGAATTGGCAAACAAAAGTGATAAATAATATAAGTTGTGAAAAATTGTTTCATAATTGTTTTAGAATAAATAAAGATTATAAAGATTAAATTTATATATAAGAATCTTGATGTCCATAGAATATATTCTCATTTAGCCTGGTTCCCAACATTGTTCTGCTGTTGCTGAATTTTCAGATTTAAGCAGTGTTAAAGTAAATCTGCAGTCTGAGAGTCTGAGGTCAACAGTTACATCTGTCCTTTCCTCTGTTCATCTCCCTCTGGACTTCGTTCAAAATATCCCCAAAAAACGTTACAGACGTGTTGACATTCGTTGGGACCCGACCTACTACCACGTCACAGGACAGAAGAACCCCTACAAGGAATACTACAAAAGAAAAAAGGAATGGACATTACTGTAAGTTTTCCAATTCCTAAACTCAATTTTGGATAAGATAGCTGTCCCTCTCAATTCAATTTATGAGTTGAGTTTATACATCCCGCCAAATTGAACTTGGATGAACTGCTATCCCTCGATCCTAACCCAAATCATATCTGTCCCTTATCTTGCCCATCTCAAATAAATAAAAATATGAGTACCTAGGTATTTGGATTGAAAGTGATGATCACAAAACATAAAAAATAAAAAATAAAAAATAAAAAACGATAAATAAATAAAATATTTATGAATTTTCAGATATTTCTGGAAATTCAGAATAAGCATTAGCAACTTAAATTGTTAAGCTAATTATAATTAGCCTTTAGTTTGTGTATACCTTAATGGCACTCCTCTTTTTTGTATGTCCATGTCATAACTTATTTCTAGGTTAATAAAACTTTATGAATAATCTCATTGAAAATTTCCTGGTAGACAGAAGTTTATAAATAGACATGAAATTTTCAAGTTTCTGAACATTTTCTTTCCCAAAATTGATTGATTTTCAATTTTACAGAAAATTATATATACTAGCATTTAAAATTTTAGGTTGATTGGGGTTTTACTTGCCTTTGTTGAACAGAGATTGGTTGCAGAAAAACTCCAACAAAGCTGTTGCTAAGCAACTATTGTGCCACCAAATTCAGCAGGAAATAGCTGCTATAGAGCGGGAAGTTATCCCTGGGATAGGACTGAAGAAGCTCGTCTGGAAAAATGATTGGGGCAGTATCCACTGTCTGGCCTCTCTGAAATCTTTTCACCGAATGTTTCAGGAACATCCAGCCAAAACTCGCCATGCCCTCAAAGGTAGGAAGTTTACATAAAAATACTGTATATTGGTATAATTCTTGTGGCAGATTTTAATTGAAAAAAAGGATAATGGTTGCCTTCTAGCTTGGCACTAGAGGAAATTTCCCTTAAGCTCAGTGGTAGAGTGTTGGAGTAGGATCGCAGGTTCGATCTCCAGTGGAAGCATATTACTCTCTTTCCTGTTACATTCTCCAGGATTTTAATTTCGCTATATTTGCTATCGTCATAGATTGCAAAAAAAAGATTTTTTACAAACAAAAATGCCTAGACGTGTTTATACCTGTGTACTGCTGAAAAACTCAGTCATCTGAACTTGAGCCAGTTGTCCGTAGTGTGGCAGTGTTAATACCAGTTTGATTTGAAACCCTACCTTACCTAATAGTAATTCAAACTCACATGTAAATTGTGCATATCCTTGACTGCAGTTATCGGGTGCTATCTTTCTACATACAGACTGGTATTCATTGACTACACAATTTTGACAAGGTGGTGTTGCGCGAAATTTAATTCCTGTAAAATAGTCCTGATCGGGACAACCCCAAAACATTATCCCCACAACAACGTTAAAGTATATAGTTTGGATGAAAAGAGCAAATACATAACAATTCTTTTATGACCTGTCTGCTCCAAGAACATTTTTAAACATCTGAACTCCTATACCAAAATAAAATTTGTGCCTACCAGCTCACCAGGATTGAAACAGTCAAATGCTCTAAACTTCCAATTAATACCGGACATTGATCGACCATATAGATTTCACAAACTATTGTTTTCATTGACCACTTTAATAAAGACTGAGGGGGGAGTACCATGTCTTATAATAACTTCCATAACTCAAATGTGATATAAAACTTAAAACTAAACATGTAAAAATTGTTGATGAAAGTACCGGTGATGGTTTTATTTTCCTGTAGATAAAACGCTGGTGTTCAGTAAGAAGACCGGGGTCTCTGCACAAGGAGATGTTATACTGAGTATGGAGGCCGTACCCTCAGACTGGCTGAAGGTTTGTACATACTACATGATAGAGATCATCTTAAATAGTACACACTACACCCTGGTATAAATATAGCGGTTGCCAGGATCCGATCCCCGAAGTCGTCGTACGCAATGGAATATTCAGAGAAAGTGTTTTTCTCCTGCTGGAGTATAAAATGGTCTGGGGTGGATGTTGCGGCATCTGTGCTGTAGCATTCAAGTGATGTGGCACTATAAATGAGTGGCTTAAATATTCTAGATAGATAGGGCGCTATATCAAATGGTGTATATCTTTGTATATTATTATAGCTATATTCCATATGTCCAATATGCTGGGTGCTGTGCCCAACGCTATCTGCCCTGTGATCAACCGCTCATTTATATCCTATTTTAAAAGTCAATATTTCCTTTCATCCTCCAATGTTGAATTTAACATTTCATATATCAATACTGGACCAAGAACTATATAAATACATAGTTGATATAACAAGTCATCATAATATGTTGATGAACACATAAAAAGATTTTTGATGTTTTACTTCTCTTTCTGATTGAAAGATGCAACCCAGGGCTCATAGCTGTGCACCTGGTGCTAAAATATTTCTGGGTAGGTCCCTGAATCGGTACTCTAAAACTAATTTACAGTGACCTTCACTTCTAGGTCAAAGTTGAAGTTAGTGCCAATTAAATGCACATTTTGGCTTTTAAGGAGAGAAATGTTTTCGTTCACAAAAAAAAAATTCTAGTCCTGAAATCTACTCTGATGTTCCTGGAAATATTTGCCACGGCTTATTAACTTTCGCCTTTTTTGCCTTTCTTAATTAGCATGACTGCAAAGATTAGCACACAGCATACAATATTATAGTTAGTGTTGTGAAGGGCACAATTAACTCTTGTCGAATACAAATTTTCACAGTGAAGGATGGACATGTGACTGGGTGAGAGTTTCGCAGTACAGATTTACCTCTCTTTGTTACACAAACCCTCATGTCAACCCAGTATGAGTCAATCATTGTACATGTATAATGCAACTTTTTTTATAATGGTTTTATTTTTCATTACATATACATACATAAATAGGACATTCACGCAGTCTCACATATACACACTCGGACATTCACGCATTCTCACAATCATTTTCATTGTCATCATAATATCATCATCATCAACATCAGAATCATCAGCATCAGCATCAACAATATCATCATCATCATCATCATCATCATCATCATCATTCATCTTTATCATGTATAATGTAACTTGGTAGATTCCCATCAAGGTTCCATTGACCATGGCAGTTTGTTTCAATGAAATCATCTTCATTTATCTTCATTACCCTGTTGACACCTTGTTATTTCTTTGAGGTCTGAACGACTTTCACAAAAGTAGCGTTTTCCGGTATATTTTTGCAGATGCTGTCCCTCGTTGATGCCTACGATGGTATGGTAAACAGGTTACCTTTTATGGAAAGTAAGTTATCGGGACTTCTTGCCGACATCCGTGTCACGTGTCCCGACAGACTTATCATGGCTGAGGAGTATGAACTCCTTCTGAACCAGATTCTCAATATTCTCCGTCATAGTCAGGCGGAGGTGAATCATTATTTATGGGATGGAGATCTCTCTCATTTACAGCTGATAGTGGAGGGGTAAGTGATACTTAATGTATAGGTGATTCTCGATACTTCAGGGGTTTTGCTCACTTTCGCTCTCTGCACCCCTGGACTATGTCATAGCAAAGTTCAAGGCTCAGCGTGTACCACCTTGTGGATAAGAAAAGAAGTTGTGTGCCTTCAATTTTGCTATGACATATTCCAGGGGTGCAGAGAGCGAAAAGTGAACGTAACCCCTGGAGTATCGAGGATGAATGATGAGGAAATAGTGCTTATACTTTGTACAATGAACCATACATTTACAATAAATATCACTGCAATGCATCGGACAGGAATCCTTACAACAAATGAATTCAAAACAAAATGTATATGCTTTCAAAAATTATTGTAGAAGTCTGTGATTTTAAAACTCAATTTTTTACATAAAGTATATATGCTGAGTATGTTTGTTAAAACTGATTAACTACATCATTATATATCTTAACATGTTTATTAATTAATCTTTTGTAGAGGTGAGGCCCCCCTGACATTGTCCAGTAGTGGTCAATTCATCGTGCCAGCTACAGTACCGGGCTCCATGATTGTGAAGTTTATAGCTGACAACAAGGAAATGGCCTTCACCGTTATCCAAGATATGGAATTGTTAGTATGAGTTTTAGGTATCATATATAGCTGTACAAAATATTAAGGACGTATTGAACGTGTTGCACAATTTCAAGATTAACTGGTCCCTTTGTCAAGCTATGACTAAGTGGAACTATGTGACGAAATTGTAGTGGCAGATCCAGAGGGTTTTTTTTAGGCTTCAAGACCCCCCCCTCCCAACCTGAGAATTTTCTTAAAAAATCATGTATTTTCACCATTTTCCTCAATTTTTCCACACATGGAAACACCCCCCCCCCCTGGAAATTTGGAAACCTCCCAGATAGGTCTCTGGATCCACCACTGTATATTACATATGGCACTCGGACCTGGAACGCTACACCTATCGATAGAGAGAGTATACACACTGTATCAAATAGGTTACTGGTAAGATGTTGATCTAGCCCCCTCTCCTGTTAGCTCCCGATACTGACCTAACAGGAGAAATGGCTAGATCTACATTATTCTTTGTCATCAGACAGTTATTCTAAAACCCTTTACAGGTATATTCAGTTTAAACCTCAGAATTTTCTACCGTACATAAATATTGTGTCAAGTTATTTATTGTTAGTTTAGCTAGTCAGCTTTAAATATCAAGACCAAGGCCTCAGTTTCACAAACAACTTCAAGGGCTTGAGAGCTTCCCAAAGTCGAGTGATAATATATAAATTGCCCCCCCCCCGGATCACAAAATGGTAACTCTAACCAATTATGCTACCTGATAAGCATAATTCCTGGTCCAGTTCCACAACAGTTAAATATAAAGAAAAATTAAGGGGAGGTTACTGTTGGTATGACAAACTACAGTGGCATTCTGTAAATATTTAAGGATCCTCGTACCATTGCCAAAAACTGTAACTTAGTACTGGAAACTGTTTTTACCGGCATTGATCACAGCTTTGATAAATCATTTCAGAAAACAAAACCATACCTTGCAGGACTTTTATGAGATTTACAATAAAGATGAAATAAACAAGATATAATGAACAACAATGTTCTGACCGTAAAAAATCAACAAGGGGCTAGACCCAGATTTGAACCCTTAACTTCAGACTGCTGTACTTTTGCTCTAGATGATTGAGCTAGCTACCAGGTAGTTGGAAGTGTCCAAATGGAGGTTAAGGGGAGATAACTGTATATGAGAAAAAAAACACAGTGTAGTGGGACATAGATCTTTAACCTGCAGTGGAAAAAGAGATCTTTCCTAGATCATAATATAATGTGACCTGGTGCTGAATCTGTGTCTTACACATGTTGAAATAGTATGGTGGGCATGGGTACCATACATCTATCTGTCAAAATGTCTCAGTCTGGTGTCAGAGCCAGAGGAATCTGGTGTCGGGGCTAGAGAAAACTCGGGCTAATGTAGAAACAACAACAATTTTCTATCAAATATTGTCATGCACTCTTGACATTTTTTTCTTGAAGGTTGATGAGAATGGAGGATGTAGTGCAAGAACAATGCAAGGACCGCCTCCAACTGACCTCAATTAGCCGAGACGAGAGTGTGACCCCAAAACAGATGATCTCGTGTTGTGAGAGACTTTTAGAGGACGCAGTGTATCTGTCGGCACTGTCCGGGGGCAGTGTCCGTGTCTCCAACTATTATGCAGTCATGAAGGATGGGGGCATTTCGATACCCTGGAACTGGAAAAGTGATATATCATAGCATTACATTTAACAAATAACTTTATTTAGATATTAGGAAAGATTATTTGAATATTTACATTCAATTAAAGTTTGTTTGTTCCCATTTTTTATTAGCTCACCTGGCCCGAAGGGCCAAGTGAGCTTATCCCATGGTGCAGCGTCCGGCGACCGGCGTCCGTCAACTTTTTCCTTTAAAATGCTACTTGTCCTGAATGGCTCGGGGGGTTTTGACCAAATTTGGTCAGGAGCATCATTGGCCAAAGGGTTCTCATTTTTGTATAAACGGAGGGTATAACCCCCCTGGGGACAGAGGGGCGGGGCCAAATAGGGGGAAAATAGGTAAATCTTTAAAAGTCTTCCTCTTCTCAACCAATAGAAGGATGTTGACCAAATTTGTCCTAGAGCATCTTTGGACAAAGGAGACTCAAGTTTGTATAAACGGAGGGTGTGGCCTCTTTGGGGGCAGAGGGGCGGGGCCAAATAGGGGAAGTAGAGGATTTTTTCTCTCCTAC